GCCTACTGGGACCCTCACAACATCACTGCTGGTGCATATTCTGCTGGGCCTTATGCTGCTATCCCTGGCGAGGAAGGCATGGAGTTCCTTGTAGAAGTGCATGGAGGAGGGCCCCCGTCCGCTTTTGGCCTTGTGATCCCTAAACTTTTTATAATCGGACCTGAGGTTTTTGGTCTTCCGACGACACTCCTCCCAGGTACGTTGGTGGCCCTTGGCCCTCATGGCTGCCACCAACTCCTTAAATGTTTCTGCATTCAGGAAGGAATTTCTCAATTTGTCCAAAATGTGTGGCTGCGACCACAGAGCTATGAGGTCGGCTGTCTCTGCATGGGTCCACGAGGTCCCTCTCCCTTTTTTTGGATCTCCGCTTATGGATGGCTGTGCCATTGTTCCCGCTGTGGACAAAGGAAGCCCCGAAGTGGACTGCTGTGGAGGTCTGCAGCTGGCAAAAGTTGCCCTGGGAAAATGGCACTGGAATGTGTGTGGGGGTCCAGCTTAAAAGTGAAACTTTCCCCTTTATCTCTTTAACACAATGTAACATCTGGTAGCAACAGTTTCACCTTCCTGCTCTGGCACATGCGCACTGTGAAAATTAGGGTTACCGCTAGGGTTCTGAAAAGATGCACCTGCAGCGTTTCGCCCACACCTGAACCCTAAAAATGCTTTAACTTGAGGCTTTTTTCAATGAGCACATGCTCCTCAAGGCCAGCTCTAAATGTAGCACACCTGTACACGTGCATTCACACCGGCGGCTTCTGTGCTTGGGTGCTTTTATTTGCGCCGAACCTCCGTTGCTGCATCCCGACGTACCGTTGAAAGTGTGCATGTTTGGGGAAGGAGTGGAAAAATGCAGCTCTTTTTTAAAGTGCCCTTTCACTGGAAAGGTCAAGTAGGGGGCACTTTTTCGATGTGCATCATGTAAAGACTGTGCCCTCAGGTCAATCCCAAAACAACTCTATTAGCCCATCTGCATCTCCCTTTCCTTTTAGCTTCAGGGACCCACAAAGAAACCAGTTGTCTAGAAACACCTATTTCCTAGAAACCTGGTTTCTTGATGGGTCCCTGAAGTTAAGGGATTGTTGGGAAGACTGTTTTGGGAACCACAAAGATTTCTTTGCCTTCAAACTAGGTTTCTCAAAGCTTAATAATACCTGTCTCTTAATGGGTCTATCTTGTGTGTAAATGTTGCCAATTTTGTTATCAAATGACAATTTAAGAACTGAGTTCATGATAAGTATATGCCAATTACTTTAATTTTTAAAGCTTATGATCTACAGTTGAAAAATAAGACCATATTTTGACCAGATGCTCCCTCACACAGTCTACAAGTCTACAGTCCACAAGGTGGGTAACCAGGACAGAACAGAGATTCTGTTGGTGTACTGCCCACTCTGCTGCACAACAGTCTCCCTTCCTGAGCTAGCTGGTGTTGGTGTTAGAGTCTCCTCATCTGTTAGTGCTGGTGGACTTCAACAGGGCTCCATACCCTTTCAGGAGTGGCTCAAGACTTCATGAACTCAGTGACAACTATAGGTCTGTCCCAAGTGGTATCTGGCTCTACTCATGCTGCTGGGCACACTCTGGATCTTGTTTTCTGTGCTGGCTGGATGATGAAGAACTTACCACAGTTTCATTGTCATGGAGAGATCATTATCTGGTCAGGGTTCGATTCACTGGGACACAGAACCTCTGCAGGCATGGGGGACCAATTAGAATGGTCTGCCCCAGGAGGCTGATGAACCTGAATGAATTCCTGAGGGCTCCTGGGGAGTTTCGTGTCACCTCAACAACAATTCTTTTGGCCCTTTGGAATGAGGAAATGGTGAGGGTGGTGGACAGCTCCATTGGCTGCCAGTTTGTTTCCAGGCACAATTCAAAGTGCTGGGTATGGCCCATGAAGCCCTATAGGGTTCAAGTCAATGCTGTTTGGCAGACCGTATCTCCCTGTATGAACCGGCTCGGGCTCTGACATACTTTGGAGAAGCCTTTCTCTCACTCCCACCACCATTTCAAGCACAGCTCATGGGGATGTGAGAGAGGTCCTTCTTGGTGTCTACCCCTAGACTCTGGAACTCTCTTCCCAGGGAGACCAGAATGGTTCCCTCCTTGTTGGCCTTCTCCCAGCAGGTTAAGACCTACCTGTTCAGACAGGCTTTTAAAACTGAATGTTTCCAAAGGACTGGCTTGGGATGTTGTTTATTTTAAAGTGTTTCATCTATTTTATTCTTTTAATAGCTATCTATTTTAATGTTGTAGTAATTTAATTCCTTTTTAATGCACGTCTTATGTTTTTAATTGTATTGTTTTTTAATATTGTGAAGTCGCTCTGAGTCCCAGTGGATAATAATAATAATAATAATAATAATAATAATAATAATAATAATAATAATAATAATAATAATCCACTTCAGTGGTTTTATGGAGATGATTCAAATGTTCAAAATCAGAATAGATTGGGTCATTTCACTCAATTTATTGTTGTTGTTGATGTTGGGTGCCTACAAGTCATTTTTTAAACTTATGATCACCCTATAACAAACCTATCATGGGGTTTTCTGGGGCTGAGATGATGTGACTCATCCAAGGTCACCCAGTGAGTTTTCATGGCGGAGCAAGGAATTGAACCTTGGTCTTCAGAGCTGTAGTCCAATGCTCAAACAACTATGCAATGCTGTCTGTCAATATGTTCCTTCAAATTGAAGATGGGGACTTTATTGTAGGATGCTCCTTGGGTGTGATATACTTCCATGTGGCTATCTCTCAACATGTTAAAAGAAGGTTCTACTAGATCTAATCTCTATTTCTTGTTGCTGTGTGCCTTCAAATCATTTCATACTTAAGATGGCCCCAAGATGAACCTATCATGGAGGGTTTTTTTGAAGAATTTGTTCAGAGATAGTTTGCCCTTGCCTTTCTCTGAATCTTAGAGAATGTGATTTGCCCAAGGTCACTCAGTCTTATGTGAATTCTTCCTTTTCTTCACTGTTTGCTTCCTTTTTTCTTCCCTTTCAGATGTAGTAGATCATAGCAGGGAAATTTCATCTACAGAGTAGGCTTCTTAGGCCAGGAACTAATAATATGTCTACTGGTTACTATGATTCTGTCAGAATTGACAACCCACTCCTCATATATCCATCATATATATATATATCAAATGAGGTTGGTGCAGATTTGGGTTTCCATCACTTTTTCCAATAGAAGAGAGAGGAGAAGAAATTCTCAGTGCTGTTGGTTCCGAGTATGGAAGGATACCACTGTATACAGAAGCAGTGCAGATCTAGATCTGGTTATATTCTGTTGGTTAGTCCCAACTACAATAGACCTATTCAATTAGTTGTTGAATGGTGAGTCAACAGTAGCTAAATCTCATTGATCCAACTGATATACCCTAGGCAGGCTAACAATAGGATTACGGCTTTTAAAAATGTAAACATGAATGTATTTGACCTGCAACAAATTCACACCTTCCAGTTTCCTTTTAAAAACCTGATCATTTCTCCCCCTCCATAATCAATACTAAACTTTCATCCTTTCCAACATAAATAAGTCCACTCTATATTGTGTGCCTCTTTTTACAGGTGCTTCCAGCTCTGTATATGAATGTGATAATTTTAGTCTGTGAATACAGGCTTTATTAGTAAAAAGCTCACTGCCAGATTTCCTTCCTTTTTCTGTAAACCATAATTATGATAAAAGTATCTACAATATATCTTTGAGCCCATTTCAAGACCTCAGCATTGACAGGATTATTACTATTCTTTTTCTTTGTGCTTGTTAGACTTCATTCAGAATATGGACCACTCATTGGGTTTTGCAAAATTTATTTTACAAAAAACGCCATCAGAGAAGTTATATCTACAGCAGTTGTATGTGTACTCAGAAGTTAGAATGACAGATGCAGTAAGGTTTTCTGCCCAAGTAAGCATGAACTGGATTGCATTCATAAACCTGCTTTGATTGTGTATTCCTGCATAGCAGGTTTGACTGGATGACCTTTGTGGTCTCTTCCAGATCTGTGATTCTATAATTCAAGGAAATGAGGCAGAAGGATTGTAGCCTACCCTATTCTGTTCTTTGCATGGTTTCCTCTTCAGGGAGCAACTTATGTAGGAATCAAAAATCTGCTGTCAGAACAGATATGCAGGCATACCCCAGTTAACAAACCCCCTAATGAAGAAGCTTTTTATAAAGTCTTTTTAATTCAGATTTCCTTTTCCTTCTTGTCCTCTAACTAACTTGAAGTTTTTTGTTTTTCTTTTTTAGCAGCAATGCAAAAAAGCTGATCCTACTGTAGCTGTATGTGCCTTCCTAAAAGAGGGATGCTAAATTGCAGTTGTCCCCAGAATTCATTTTTTAGCTTGTGTTAAAGGGGGAGAACAGATAAGCTTACCAGATCAGCTATCCCAAATATGTTTTAAAAGAATAAATCTATATGTTTGGCCACCCAATGAAAGCATATCAAACAAAATGGAGGCCTGTAAAAGATGTGTATGAATATATGTATGTATATATGTGTGTGTGTTGGAAGAAGCCTTCAAGTGGTTTCTGGAAGCTTTTTAAATGTTGTTGTTCCCCTCTGCAAGGCTTACCTATTTCAATGTGAATGCTGTTATTTCTGCATTAAAATGTTTGCTAAGACATATTGAATTACTCTTATTTATTTATTTATTTATTTTTATCTTTATTATTTTCATTATTGTTAAAATCACCATACAGATTATTATATTTCAAATGTACCATTATATCAACAAAAGCTTCCTGCCTTTAAGTAGTTTGCGCTAAATAGTTGCTTTCCAGTCTGCTTATATTCATGAATCTCTACCTATATACAACTGTCATATCCCTCCTCTTAATTTTACTTCTATAACATCAAAGTAGTTTTGATTAATGTTTATTGTATTAAAACATATAGCATATATCACATACATAAAAATAATCACAAGTAAAACACAATACTAACATAACTAACATAGACAAAACACAATATTAACAACACATACTAACTGTACTTCCTAACTTCTTCATGATTCTATTAGTTTTTATTTTCTTTATGTACTTTCTTTATCTATTTTGATTATTACTCCATATCCAACAAGAAAATCCATAACTTCTGAAAGGTAAACTCATAAATCATACCATTTTCTCTTAATATATAAACTTAGTGTAATTACATTTAAATTATAGCATCTATGTTATCTATTATTCTGATGCAATATGCATGCTTTCTTCTTCTTTTTTCTGAATATAAGTAATCTATGGTTTCCAATCTGCTTTTAATTTATCAATTGATTTCTTATTTATATCAAAGTAAATTTAATACAGATGATAGCTTAAATATTTAAGTAATGAAACTGCTCTTATTTTTCTGTGGCATAGAAATCTGTCCCTTTGGCTTTCCAGGGTTGTTTTGAGGGTGATCTGAAGGCATGGTCTTTAGATGATGCACACAGAAAAAGTGTCCCATACTTGCCTCTTCCTGTGAAAGTGAACTTAAAAAAGGAGCCACATTTTTCTGCTTCTTCCGAAAACATGCATACCTTCAAAGTTACATTGGGATGCAGCGACAGAGGTACAGCAGAAAATGAGGGCACCCAAGATCAAAAGACACTGGTGTAAATGCACGTGAACAGGTGCACCACATTTTAAGCTACCCCTGGGGAAGCATGCGCCCTTTAAAAAAAAGCTTTACATTAAAGTGTTTTTAGGGTTTTGGTGTGGGTGAACAGCTGCAGGTGCATCTGCATCAGAACCCTAGCCCTAACCCTAATTTTCACAGTGCGCATGCGCCATAGTGGGAAGGTGAAACTGTTGCTACTGGATGTTACATTGTGTGAAAGAGATAAAGGGAAAGTTTCACTTTTAAGCTGGACCCCCACATACATTCCAGTGCCATTTTGCCAGTGCAACTTTGGTCGCTGCAGACCTCCACAGCTGTACACTTCGGGGCTTCTCTTGTCCACAGTGGGAACAATGGCAGAGCCATCCAAAAGCAGAGAGCCAAAAAAAGGGAGAGGGACATCGTGGTCCCATGTGGAGATGGCCGACCTCATAGCTTTGTGGTCGCAGCCACACATTTTGGAGAAATTGAGAAATTCCTTCTTGAATGCTGATACATTTAGGGAGTTGGCACAAGCCATGAGGGTGAAGGGCCACCAACACACTTGGGAGGAGTGTTGTCGGAAGACCAAAAACCTCAGGTCCGATTACAAGAAGTTTAGGGATCACAAGATCAAAAGTGGACGGGATCCCTCCACAATGCCCTTTTACAAGGAATTCCATACCTTCCTTGCCAGGGATGGTAGCATACGGCCCAGCAGAATATGCACCAGCAGTGAAGTCATGATGGTCCCAGTGGGCCAGCCAACCAGAGCGGAAACTGTGGATTTCTCTGAGGGAAAATGCTCCCAGGAGTTTTTGCCCCCTCAAGGTAAGATGCACCAGGACCCTCGGGAAGGGGTGTAGGGGACAGCACTAGGGGACAGCACTAGCACTCATCCCTTGTCATTTTTAAATGACCCGGAGGAACACCCTGACTCAGATGAGACATCCTGCAGTCAGAAGGTTATGGACATCTCTGCCATGAGACCACCATCCCGTGCCTCTATATCTTCCAACAGCAGGCCACCATCTCATGGTTCTGAGTGGACCACTGTATCTGCCAGGATCAGTAGCCACTGTGACCACTCACCTGTCCCATGGACAAGTAGAGCGGTCAGCAACAGTGAGAGTGAGGGCGAGGAGAGAGCACATCCTGGACAATTCACCCAGCTGATACAGCAGGTCCAGGATGAACATGGTAAATTCCCTGTCATGACAAAACATGCATTCCATCGCATGTATGCCTGCATTCCAAAAAGCAAAGCAATTTGTATGGCTTTTGTGATGTTTTTTGTGTAG